GCCCAGTGGGTTCTGCTCACTCTAGGGACTCGTCGAAGATTATATATTTCTTCTAGGCTTTTCGTGAAGAACTCTGACCATCGGGTCGGCGGTCTCCTGCAGTTCGCTTGACATTCCGAGGAATCCAGTCACTAACGGCTATTGCCCATCGGTTGTCACTCATACGCATTACGTCGGCCCACCTTATCTTCGTCTGTTTGGCGTACAGAACGGCATCTTTGATTTTTGATCGTTGACGCAGATCGGAGTTTCGGATCCCATCCCTTACTTGTGTGAAACAGAATACTCTAGCATCGCCCTTTTGAATGCGTGTTCAGTAACGTTCAGCGACAACCACGAACAGAAGACTTAATTTATAAAGCTCTTAGAAATGAAGCGATCATCTCTTGTAACACCAACCTCGACATCTATGCGGAATTACTATAACTCAATTCATTATTGAAGTTCCATTTTCATCGAAGAAAAAAGTCAGTGAACTGGTTTTCCGTACGTAATCATATTAGCAGTGAAATATGTGTAGTGAAGAGAACCAATAGCGCTTTCAAAAATTTCCTAATGATACAAAACTTTCTGTTAGCAGTAATGTAATCGATACTGATCAAAATTTCTTTACAGAATGCCCATGTGTGTCGATTAATTGCTCCGAATGTCCATTCGGTGAGATTTTTCAGCTATAAAACAGTATAATTTATCACCATGGTCAGTTCAGTTTGGTCTTCACGTGTGTTTAACAATTATAATTAACTGTTTCGTAACTATACGTTATAGGTTCTTATTCGTTTCAGGGGCAACATATTCACAGAATTTCTCAAAGCACCCAGAATCTTAGGGCGCGTGTGGCGCAGTGGTTAGAAGCGCCACTGCGACCCACACGTGGAATCGATCCCCGCGCTCATGGCCCATCAAGCCTACCATCCCTCCTGGGTCGGCAAATTAATACCAGATTGATACTAGATTTGTCTAGAAGGATAGCAGCACTGGTTCGATACATCGGTCGGCCACCGCGAGTAAAGGCCAGTTATGTATGCATTCAATCACCTCCAGCGATACTTAATGAAGTCGAATGCATGGCGTATCCCTAAAGGGATTGATCGACGCCGAGAGCTTTTTTAGAGCGTTACCCAGAATTTTTTCATTTTGTTCTCCATTGTTGGCGTACATTTTCGTCAAAATAAAGTCTTCACTGTCAATTCGTGACAACATCCCTTAATCGCATTATTTTTCCAGGGTGTTGCTGTCCGAAGACTGCAGTCACTGTGACGGAGTTACCCATTGTTACGACCACTAATGCCAGGACCAATATCAAACCAATTGCTACCGTGTTCCTTACGATGCTATATATGTTTTATATCAGTTAGTTATCTTAAAAGCTCTCAGTTTTTAAAATAATTGCAAATACTTCTTCGAAAATCATATTTGTTAGCGCTTCCACTGATCTATCATGTTCCATACGCATAATATGGAAGCATGTCTTACCACCACGCATGTATAATATTGACATTGTTCGATTCATGGAATAAAACTGCCTTACCAATGATTAAATGCGGAGTTGTTACAGTATATACGTTTTCTTTAAATGAGCCGTCTTCACATCCACTGTGCGGATCCCAGCACTTCTCACATTCGATTCGTTTCCTCGCATCCATTATCTACGAAGATCTTCCAAATTTAACATGTGGCTTCGATTGCTGCTTGAGGATTTTCATTTCATCTTGAATGTCGTAGAATGCTCGTCGAGCAATTCTCCCTGGAGTCCTGAGATAGCCAGGCTGGAGCGTTCCCAATTGAATTGCAGAGAGTGATTTTCTTTTCCCACACAAGTCCGGTACCAATTTCCCGACCCCGGAGAGATGAGAGGCTTGGTTGGTCCGTAGCGCAATCCAACTAGTATCATGCTAGTAGTGACGGGTATCACTACCATTGTGCTATCCATCCCTTACATACATATTTGTTGTGCTAGGTATCACCCTCAAGCGTACTCTATATGGTGTTTCTTTTCTGCATCAAATTCAGATTTAAAACAATCACTACCAAGCATTGAACGTTTTTTGGTGCATCCTTGATCACTATCTATGCTTTTAATATTGACTTTCATACAACATACAACTTAGTGTGTACCCAGACAAGCTAATCACTGGTAAATTTTGGTAGAAACTCCAAATTATCGCCATCATGCGAAAAATGTGAAGAGGACCACCTTAGCAGTTTTGGACACGCGATGGGAACGAACCGATTTATCGAAGTATTCTAGAATATGCTCATGATTAGTCTGATTATAGTAATCCAAATTTAGTGTGGTTCACTGTAGTGTGCTAGTTAGTGGTGACCTATAATGCACATATGGTGGTTGAATCTCTCCGCCACATCAGGTAAATCAAGCCGTTTATCGTTCTGGAATCGCCGATTAGGTACGAGAGATACTCATGGTGAAGAAGAAACACTGACTTGATAATTCTTTCTAGTTCATTTCAGCAAACACGAGGTGTTACTTTATTTCTTCATTTACGTACGAACTAACGTTTCGGAGGATTTCGCCCTCCTCAGAGCCTGGAAAGGTCAAGTTGACTACAATCTACATGGCCAAACACCTCCATAACCAAACAGAGAAAATGCTGAACCAAAATTTCAATCACATTGAACACAGAGTCTTTGCACACTCACCGCTTTCTATGAATCTTCCACTGAGTATGTCGTGTGAAGACCGACTGCACAGAATTCACATGGAAGCGTAATGTGTCCCTCCCATCAGAATAACAGGTTTATATACTGTCCAATATCACACGTGATAATGAGGCATTCTTCCTAGCGGTTCATTTTCGGATTCATGGAATTAATCCAGAATGCCTCTAGAGTTTTGCGCGCTTGTGTTCTCGATTCTTGCGCGAAGATCGTAACCCTTCAAAATCTTCTCCCCTACGTCTCCGCCTCCTATGCGTGCCTAGTGGAGTATTTGGTTTACGTTTGCCGACTAGGTGTTCTTTTATACGTAGGCAGAGTGGTCTACTCGTTTCGCCGATGTATTCGTCTCTGCACGCCTTACAGGAGATCAGATAAACTATACCCAAGCTCATGCAGTCATCGTCTCTACCATTGGGGCAAATTATGCAATTTTGCGTTGCACATAGGCGGTCGTATAGACGGTTACGAACTAGCTGACGTCTTAGATTACTCGGTAGTATTTCAATTATCGTTACCGAATTCTCTACCATACCAACCAACCATAGGTACCAACCATATAGGTATGGTGGTTACCATAGGTACCCCAACGATAACTCTAGCGACAATAAGGTCCCATTTATACCGCCCTTCATTTCAAACGAAGTAAGTGCAGCTATAAAACGCTGCTTAGGAAGGGCCGGTCTAGAGAATTCGGTAACGATAATCGAAATACCATCGAGTAATCTAAGACGCCAGCTAGTTCGTAGCCGCCTATACGACCGTCTAAGTGCAACACAAAATTGCATAATTTGCCCCAGTGGTAAGAACGGTGACTGCATGAGTTCGGGTACAGTCTATCTGATCTCTTGTAAAGGGTGCTGGGGGAATACGTTGGCGAAACGGGTAGACCACTCTGCGTGTGTATAAAAGAACACCTAGTCGGCAAACGTAAACCAAATACTCCACTAGGCACGCATAGGACGCAGAGACATAACGGAGAAAATTTTGAAGGGTTACGATCCTCGCGCAAGAATCGAGAACACAAGCGCGCAAAACTCTAGGGGCATTCTAGATTAACTCCATGAATCCGAAAATGAACCGCTGGGAAGAATGCCTCATTATCACGCGTGATATTGGGCACTATATAAGCCTGTTATTTTGATGAGATGGGCACAATACGATTCCCCGTGAACTCTGTGCGGTTGGTCTCCACGTGACATATTTAGTGGTAGACTCATAGAAAGCGGTGTGTGTGTAAAGACTCTGTGTTCAATGTGATTGAAATTTTGGTTCAGCATTTTCTCTGTTTGGTTACGGAGGTGTTTGGCCGTGTAGATTGTAGTCAACTTGACCTTTCCAAGCTCTGAGAAAGGTGAAATCCGCCGAAATGTCAGCTTGTACTTAAATAAAGAGATAAAGTAACACTTCGTGTTTGCTGAAAAGAAGTGGAAAGAATAACATAATAACAAGCGAATTACGCCTCCATGTGAATTCCGTGCAGTCGGTCTTCACACGACATACTCAGTGGAAGACTCATAGAAAGCGGTGAGTGTGCAGAGCTATGTTAAATGTGATTGAAATCTTGGTTTAGCGTTTTCTCTGTTTGGTTATGGAGGTGATTGACCGAATAGGTTTCTGTCAACTTGACCTTTCCAGGCTCTGAGAAAGGCGAAATCCGCCGAAACGTCAACTTGTACGTAAATAAAGAAATAAAGTAGCAACTCGTGTTTGCTGAACAAAAGTAGGAAGAATTATTCAATCAATGCCGAGGTTAGTAGAAAGTCGGACTTGGGTGTTACTGACTTGATATATTAATCACATCATGGAAGAAGTAATAACACAATCTAAGGTGGATCTCCTGGATATTTTAGTGCTGTTTCAACTGCTTCATCTTTTCCGCTAAATTCAGCAGACACCGGTAAAGATTCCGTTCGTCTCTGTAGCGCGATTGGAGCTGTGCAATAGGCTTTACTCTGTCAATGTAGAAAAAATCACCGCATTTTTAACAAGAAATTCTCCATGTATACTGTTTTTTTAATCCAAAAAAAGATTTTTTGTAAGCTATTGAAAGTAGCAGATAGCTTGTCATAGACCAGGAATAGCAGGATAGCAGTGTTGGACAATACGTCGTTTGAATTTAGGTAAAGCATTGCTTCAAATAAACACTCAAAAGTGCATAGGCATTTTTCGACAAGGCGAAATAAAGCGATTCAATTTATGTATTATTCTATTACACCAACATGGGAAGTAGCTGCATTTCTACGCGAACGCGATTGGAGAGCGAATGACGTCTTCAAGCAGACATTCTAGCAAAGCTCGGTGTCCTCGAACAAGACGAAACATCAAGATGCTTCGGAGTGCGCAAGATGAGCGATGTTCTCCAGTTGTTTCAAATTCATCGCATAACCTTCAAAGTAGTTGTTCACCATATACGGTAGATTATTTTCACGGCAAAACTCCTTGACCAGTAGCATGCATGTGCTCAAATTACATCTGGGCATCGTCGGGAAGAGGTGATGCTCGATCTGAAATTCGATAGCAATGAAAACGTTTAGTACTGATCTGATTAATCCACTCATCAATAAGAAGTGATGGTTTCAGACATTCATGCGATAAGCTCCTCGCTAATTGATTTTTGGGCACTTACTATACGAGATTCCTAAACATTCATGTGGTAGTCAAAAAAGTCTTTACTTGCTTTGTTATTATTGTTTGTTAAGAAAGTTTTTACTTCTTGTTACTTGGATTCATTTCTCTGTATAATAAAACAAATAATCCCAGGATCGACTTTCTACTAACCTCGGCATTGGAATATGAATGTGTCGTTTTCTTGTTCAGCAATCGCGAGGTTTTTGAACAGCATACATTTAACTCGTATGAAGTGCTGAGATATCCGCAAAACTCCGGACTACAGGTGTATGCAGTGGGTAACGACCTCCGGACCCGGATGGTGTAGTGGTGAAGTGCGCTGCTCCCCGGTAAGGACAACAGCGCGTGTTCGTTCCCCACTGCATACACCTGTGGTCCGGAGTTTTGCAGATATCTCAGCACTTCATACGAGTTATATTTCACAACATACCCTGCCATTGAGACGAAAAAGGCAGTAAATAAAAGAGTTGAGCATACATTTACTTCCATAAAAAACAATATAATACAACGCTAGCTGACGTTTCGGCAGCATCGCCTTCTTCAGAGCTTGGAAGGGTATACTGATATACAATCTACTGGGCCAAACGCTTCAATAACACTTACAAAAAGACGAAAAACTCTTCGGTAATTACATAATCAACAACTTCTCGAAAAAACCCACCGCTTTTTCGTGACTTCCAATGAGGAAGTTTAGAACAGCTGATTATAGTC